GCTGACCAGCTTTTTGAAGATGCTGATTTCATTTTCCAGCAGGATTTGGCACCTGCCCACACTGCCAAAAGCACCAAAAGTTGGTTAAATGACCATGGTGTTGGTGTGCTTGCCTGGCCAGCAAACTCACCAGACCTGAACCCGATAGAGAATCTATGGGGTATTGTCAAGAGGAAGATGAGAGACACCAGACCCAACAATGCAGATGACCTGAAGGCCGCTATCAAAGCAACCTGGGCTTCCATTACACCTGAGCAGTGCCACAGGCTGATTGCCTCCATGCCACGCCGCATTGATGCAGTAATTCATGCAAAAGGAGCCCCTACCAAGTATTGAGTACATGTACAGTAAATGAACATACTTTCCAGAAGGCCAACAATTCACTAAAAATGTTTTTTTTTATTGGTGTTATGAAGTATTCTAATTTGTTGAGATAGTGAATTGGTGGGTTCTTGTTAAATGTGAGCCCAAATCATCACAATTAAAAGAACCAAAGACTTAAACTACTTCAGTCTGTGTGCATTGAATTTATTTAATACACGAGTTTCACAATTTGAGTTGAATTACTGAAATAAATGAACTTTTCCACGACATTCTAATTTATTGAGATGCACCTGTATATGGACAAAAGTACTACACCTCTTAAAGGGTTAGTTCACCCAAAAATGAAAATTCTGTCATTAATTACTAAAGTCGTTGCAAACCTGTAAGACCTTCGTTCATCTTCAGAACACAAATTAAGATATTTTTGATGAAATCTGAGAGCTTTCTGACCCTCTATAGATAGCAACGCAACTGACACGTTCAAGGCCCAGAAAGGTAAGATAATGATAAAATAGTTCATGTGACATCAGTGGTTCGACTGTAATTTTATATACTTTAATACTTTCTGTGGACAAAGAAAACTAAATTTTTTCTCTTCCCTGTCAGTCTGACAGGAGAGTACCACGACGCATGCGTGTGGTGCTGCAGATGCAGGAGCCGGCGTTCTGATGCAAAGAGAGGAATGTTGAATAAAATCGTTATTTTTGTTTTCTTTGCGCACAAATTTGAGTGGTATTATTGGGAAGTGGAAGTGTTTAGGAACAGCAACAACAAGGAAGACCAGGTAAAGTCACTGAGTGCCAAGGCGCATGGTGTGTAAAAGTCACCGACACTGCTGATTCCATAGCTTCCACTGGCATTAATATCAGCACAAAAACTGTGCGGCGGGAGCTTCATGGAATGGGTTTCCCTTGCTGAGCAGCTACAATGCCATGCATCAGATGGAGTGGTGTAAAGCACACCACCACTGGACTCTGGAGCAGTGGAAACATGTTCTGTTAAGTGATGAATCACACTTCTCTTATTGGCAGTCTGATGAGCGAGTCTGGGCTTGGCAGATGGAATAATTTAAAAAGGTGATTATTTTTGCCCCCCATGAAAATGGCATGATCTAATTAGAACAGCTACTTGTTTACTACAAAATCAACTAGGGCTGTCACTAATAATTATTTTGGTAATCTAGTAATTGGCCGATTATTCTGACGATTAATCGGGTAATCAGATTTTTTTTGTAGTAATAACATTTCCCCTTTCTCATATCAAGCTATTCTCAGATGCCTGTTTGTGTGACGTCACACTGACCCAGGCCCCTCCCACGATTGTTGATTGACACTAGCGTTTTACCCTAGACCCGCCCTGAGTGAGATGTCATCAGTCCGCCATTGTTTCGATGCCGGAGTGGTTGTAGACAAGAATTACTCCTAAGCGATTGAGGTGTTTTGTCGTTGAATGTAATAATGAACATAGCAGTGGTCATTTACTCCCGACATCTGAGCCTCTGAAGACGCAGAGGATTACCTTTGTTTTTGAAGGGAATGCGCCCCCCCGATCTACCTAAATGCATCTATGCTCGCGAGAAACATTCGTGATCCAGCCTCACCTACAGAAGAAGTGAGTATAAGGTTCTTTTATGAATCTTTGCAAATCGCCTTTCTTAATAACGTGCTAGTTAGAAAGTTCCACGGCTAAATTAAACATGAGAATGGCTCATCACCCCACGGAAGAGGTGGGTTGGGTGAGCAGAGCTCATTAGCATTTAAAGGAACATGCACTAAAACGGCTTGCTGAAAACAGTGCTGATTTTGACAGGGTAAAAAGGGGGTAACACTTTATTTTAAGGTGTCCTTGTAACACGTTACATGTACTTACTATTACAATAACAATAAATTATGCATAAATACATGCAGGTAACACTAAACTCTAACCCTAACCATATAGTAAGTACATGTAGTTAATTAATATTACTCAGTACTTAAATGTATAATTACAATGTAACAAGGACACCTTAAAATAAAGTGTTACCCCCTTTTTACCCTGTCAAAATCAGCACTGTTTTCAGCAAGCCGTTTTAGTGCATGTTCCTTTAAATGCTAATGAGCTCTGCTCACCCAACCCACCTCTTCCGTGGGGTGATGAGCCATTCTCATGTTTAATTTAGCCGTGGAACTTTCTAACTAGCACGTTATTAAGAAAGGCGATTTGCAAAGATTCATAAAAGAACCTTATACTCACTTCTTCTGTAGGTGAGGCTGGATCACAAATGATTCGCGCGAACATAAATGCATTTAGGCAGATCGGGGGTGCATTCCCTTCAAAAACAAACGTAATCCACTGCATCTTCAGCGGCTCAGATGGCGGGAGTAAATGACGACTGATATGTTCATGATTACATCCAACAACAAAACATCTCAATCGCTTAGGAACCATTCTTGTCTACAACCACTCCGGCATCGAAACAATGGCGGACTGATGACATCTCACTCAGGGCGGGTCTAGGGTAAAACGCTAGTGTCAATCAACAATCGTGGGAGGGGCCTGGGTCAGTGTGACGTCACACAGACAGGCATCTGAGAATGGCTTGATATGAGAAAGGGGAAATTATTAAACGAGATATAAAAAAAACACTGGGTGGATCTTTATCATTATAGGGTGGTTGTGTACACACACTGCCAACACACATTTCAGTTCAAACGTGCATGTCACATCTGATGACCCCTTTAAATAATTGTCTGTCAATACTTGTCTTTAAAATTTATCAAGAATTGTTACATTTTTCTGGTATCAAACATTGTGGGATCATAACTTTATTTCCAGCAAAACAATTATGTGTGTGTAATTATTGTAAAATAAGATTGCTTAAAATTACATGTAATAAAATTAAGATTTTAATCATATGCCCTGTGCTAAATAATTGCCATCTCAATATAGACTAAAGAAATTGTGATTATGATCTGTGCCATAACCGAGCAAACCTATTGTGGACCCATACATAGAGGTCTGCAAGCCCGTAGGGTCCCTGTATCTCTGTATTTTTTACAGATTGGGCTCGGGTCGGACTCGGGCTCATTAAGCTTCTCTACTTTTATTGTGCCCATATACGCGCAGAACACACATAGGCTACTGTATGAAATATTGTTATATTCATTATATTATAAATATTATACATTGCCTATACGCAACGCATGTACGCACACTTTAGCAAACAGGTGACAGTTGACTGTGCAGAGCATCAGGGAGAAGTAGGAGTGTGGGGAGTTACTAAAAGTTCCCAATGCATCAGGAAAAGCTGCATTTTGAAAGAGTTTTGATTTGATAACCACGGCAAACAGTGAGCCAATTGGTCATGTGCAGTGCAGAATCTGCAAACATATCCTTGCACATAACAGCAAAAATGCACGAAATAGGCTAAAGCGTACCGCAAAGCCCCAGCAAACGTAATTACCATGAATGTGTCGGGGGAAATAGTAAGGAGATATTTGAATTATTTATTAATAAATTCATGTTTTCTGAGTCCTTGTCATGAAAAGATGAAGATGACGATCCTGACTCGCCATCTCCTCATTGGACGCGCTTTTAGAGAGAAATGCATCTTTATGGATTTTATAATGAAAGAGTTTTTGTTTTCGATTTGAATTATTTCATTTTAAAGTAGTAATTTAAAACTTTCTATAGATACATTTAGCAAGTCTGTGAGGCAGGCATTCGCTGAGTTTCGGTTCATCATTGTGAAGCACTCCTGGCCAAAATTGCAGAAAGTGCATCCTGTATGTATCCTTTATTTTATAAAAGCACACAGTTTTGTTGATATTGTGAGTGCACACAAATAAAAGTTGACCCTTTACAATTCCGAGTGATGTATTACTCTTACCTTTATGAGCAATAATTACGGCATATTTTAAGTTGTTTCCAATGCAAGTGATCGCGCCGGCACCTCCATGTCCTGTAAAGCGCGCTTTAGCTCTTCGCACAAACGATTAGATATGCACCTAATAGCGCACATTTATATAGGTTAAACATTTAAACTAGCATTGTGATATGCTTGAACTGTTTTATATTTATAGATTTTGTTTTAGGCAAGTCATGATGATTTGAGAAGGCTAAATTGATCAAACATAGGCTATGACTGTCTGCCGCTGGCCGCTTGATCATTAAAAAACAAAAACTTAATAAAATTAACTTAATAAAAAAACGAAACTAAATATAATCACTTTGACATTACATACAAAACTTAACTATTTTAATAGCTGAAACTATAAAGTAGTATAGCTATAAGCTGTTTTGGGAGAAGGGGGGGAAACAAGACGGGCTCGGGTCGGACTCAGGCCAAGAATTCTGATGAGCTGTCGGACCCGGGCCGGGCTAGAGCCTGAGCGTCTCGGGCCAGGGCCGAGCTAGGGCCTATATTTGAGGCCCGTGCAGGGCTCTAATACATAGTATGTATTTTTATTTCCTCACCGTGAGTGCTAGTATCTAAGGGTGGAAAATGGGCAAAATAATGTCAGTATATTATAATAATTTAATTTAATAATGGAAATTAGATACAAAACTTCGGAAGTTGAACACTGATTTCACACAATTACCTGTGTTAGAATGCAATATACCAGAAGCATTACAAATTCATATCAGATGTTAACACAGATGACCTGTATACATTTTTTTTTCTTTCCCAGGTTTTCTTCGCCCAATCCTGAACCATCTCCCGGGAATTCCTTCATGGAGCATGCAGCATCACCCACTGTCAATCAACACCATAACTTCACAATCTATCCATCAATGTAAGTTCTGAGGAACATCTTGTATGTGATTATTTTCCCCCCATGCTATTACTGTTTATCTCTACAATAACAAACCCAGTGCATGACTGGTGTATGTGTGTGTGCATCTGAAGGAATGACTCCATGTTAGACACGGAAGGTGAATTTGATCTGGAAGAGACCATGGACATGGCCCGACAGGTGGAGGAGTTCCTGCGTCAGCCCATGGAAACCCAGTGGAGCGGACAACAGTCATGACCTTTAACCTTGTGATCTCTTATGAGAACTACACAAAAACTCAATGGTTCCATTCTATCATTTTATCTTAACAAATGTGAAATGCTATGTTTGTCAAAGCTGATGTGTAACTGCCTTTGCATTTTATATATAGTTTGATATGTAATTTCCCATCATTAACCACCAAAGAACAATAGACTATCAATTGCAGTGATACACTTCTATTTGGCTGGATATGAGCGGCTACTTTACTAGCCTAGTGTGGGTTTGCCACTTTCATTGCCCTTTATCTTGATTGTTATAGTCTTTTTTATAAAAATCTTCTTGATCAGATCTTTAAGTCCAGTCACACAGTTGGCTAATTGAAGACATTGACATTAGTGTGGAGTTATTTCTCCCCAACTTTAGTTACAGCATCCCCTAGCATTGAAAATGTATGAAATTTAGCACGTCAATATCCATGCGTTCCAAACCATTCACACTTTAAGATATTAGCTAATGAAATTTGATTGGTGATTTTTAAGATTTGGGATTGGAAAAATCGTAAATCTTATTGGGAAGCACTTCCTCTATCAAACGGTTGCTGAGTTATGATGTTTTTAGTTGTGTTGCCCCCTATGGGTGGATTTTGAGACAATTTGTCTTGAATTCTTAGGATTGTTTATGTGTACCAAGTTTAGTTCAATTTGATAACTTTAGAACAAACTGAAGAATCAAAATTCTTTAAATTTTTTATTTTATGTTTAAATAAGCTTCTTGGTTAAGGTTGAAGAGTGTACATTTTTTGAGTTCAAACACTCTCTCCTACCCTTTCTTGATGGGCAGAGACACAGTCAGCTATTAGTAGGTGATTCCACCAAAAGTGTGAACACTGTGACTCTGTAGAGCTTTGTAAATATGCCACCAACCCAATATAGCAACATTTGCTCAGCCAATGGCTTGAGTTTGGGTAAACAGCATCTTCTCTGATAAACAAGCGATCATGTTATGGTGGTTGGGTCTGTGTGTGTTTTAACCTAAAAAGTGACAATCAGCTGAAAACAGTTATTCTCGGTGTCTGATCTGTCTAGCGTCTTGGCCATTTCTGATTGTCTGGCTCCCACCCCAGATACCTAATTTTCCCTGAGCCATTCTTCTGGTGCCTTAAACAGCTGAGGTTTGTCCAGTTGTTACACCAAAGTCTGTTGTTAGCCTTCAAATTTTCACAAATTTTTAAAACCTCTCAGATTTCATATATATTGATCTGAAATTAGTTTGACACTTCAGTCTTTCTCCCAGTAAATATCTCTCTTAACGGTAATCAGTGCACTTGAGAGCCAAAATTGTACAATATACCAGGAGTTGTTTGAACCAGAAGTTTATTTTTCTTACCCTATTAGCAAATGATTCTTTTAAACATTTTAAGCCTTCTTGCCTGTATAGTGAAATGGATTTTATAGATATCAAAGCAAATGACCATGTTAATCAAAAAATATGTCTTTAAAGATCCAGTCTATTTAAAACAAAGTAATGTAAAATGTAAAAATGTCAGTCAAGATAAATTCGCTCCCCTCAAGAATAGATCTCAGGAAAATACACGTCAAAGAGCTGTTTAATAGTACCTATGCAGACACAGAATTTTATATATATAAAAAATAAACATATATATATATATATAGAGAGAGAGAGAGAGAGAGAGAGAATTACTATAGTGCTATCTAAAAAGAAATATATCGTTGCGATGCAGATAAAATGTGCTTGTATTGTCTTTAGAGCAACTGTAACTTGGTTTTAATGTGTTGTTAATGTAATGGCTTGGCTTTAGTGTCTGTCTTATTGTTTTCTGTAAAATCAATTTTTTTGAACATTATTTGTACTTTTTCCTATCGTTAGAAATAACATTACATTATGTTCTATATGTAAGGGATAATGTCCAATCTATATGTAAGGGATGAAGCCTGTCATCATAACTTAACATAGATGGGGGTGATCAGGACCCAGCCACAAAGTGCAGGGGTTTTCCTGGATTTGTTTTTTTGTTTTTTTGGACTGTAATGATTGGCTAGCAGTACGCTAACCCTTTTATTACATGGCTACCTAACAAATAAAGATATAAATGCATGGTTATGAGTTGAATTATTGTATCTTGAAGAGAGGGTGGAAAGACGCATCAGTTGTTTTGATTACTTACAATGTTACAAAGTTGTCATGGACAATGGTCATTATTCAGAAATATTTGATCACCATAATCCTCTGCATGACCAGTCATGTTCAAGCAATCCTCAGAGCTGTGAAATAATGATAATCTTACTTAAACTGGTTCTTCTGGCAGGTGTGCTGTGTTTTGAGTTAAGATTTGCTTAAAGGTGCAATAGGCGATTGTCTTCAGAAATTTTTTTTGTTATGCTGGTTGAAAGTCTCTTCACATCCTGATAGCAATCATTAAGTTAAGTGGTCTATATGTATTTGTCTGTATTTATATATTCTGTGGAAGGCGTAGGATCAAGAAATGTTCGTCCAATCAAAACGCTCTGTCCAAGCGTTTTAATATGCTTTCCTACCTGCCTGTCAGCGTATATGTATAAGCATACCTCTGCGCACCAGGTTCACGCAGACAGGATACGTCATCAGCGCATTTACGCACGCTGTGCAGACAGAGCGAGAATGGCAGACAAACATCAACAACCCGGTCTTCCTTCCTGGTATTGTACTTTTAAAGTTTTCTCACCGGTGAATGACACATGATGTAGCCCAGCGGTTAATCCAGTCCTCGCGCCAGCCGAGATGGTCCTCACTGCAGAACACAAGATCCAGGGGGCGAGGTTGGATCCAGATCCAACTCCTCCCACCTTACATTTACCTAAACTTACCCATCTCCACCCCCTGATCCCTAAACCCACCCATCTCCACCCCTTAGATGTGGATCCAACCCCGCCCCCTGGATCTTTGTTCTGCAGTGAGGGGCTACTGGGCCAGCTCGTTAGACGTGAACCTCACCCAGTTCGCGCAGACAGGATACGTCATCAGCGCGTTCACGCATGCTGTGCAGACAGAGCGAGGATGGCAGGCAAACATCAACAACCTGATCTTCCTTCCTGGTATTGTAGTACTTTTAAAGATTTCTCACCAGTGAATGACACATGATGTAGCCCAGCGGTTAATCTAGTCCTCGCGCCAGCTCGTTAGAAGTGAACTACGTGCATGAACTGTGTTCCGATCGATATGATCCCTACACACTGTTCATTGCTCCCTACTGCCTGAGAGGGGAAAATCCGCTGAAGTTTACTTCACTTCGGCTTTTACGTTGAAATTTACTTCACTTTTTTACTTTGGCTTTGGTCGGCGATTGCAGGGAGGGTGGGACGTTCGCTTTCAGTGCTATCGGGCTGAAGTTAGCATTTTCCAAGATCTCCTACTGCACCTTTAACAGTACACCATCAGTACTGGACATTGGGCATTTTCTGATGGAAAAGCAATTTTCAGTTAATGATGATGATTAGTGCTGCATTCGATACTATAGATCATGACATACTCATAGATCGATTACAAAACTATACTAT